CAGCCTCACCTCAGTCCCTGGAAAAATCATGGAGCAGGTCCTCAAGGAATCAATTATGAAACACTTAGAGGAGAGGAAAGTGATCAGGAACAGTCAGCATGGATTCACCAAGGGCAAGTCATGCCTGACTAACCTAATTGCCTTCTATGATGAGATAACTGGCTCTGTGGATGAGGGGAAAGCAGTGGATGTGTTATTCCTTGACTTTAGCAAAGCTTTTGATAAGGTCTCCCACAGTATTCTTGCTGCCAAGTTAAAGAAGTATGGGCTGGATGAATGGACTGTACAGTGGATAGAAAGCTGTCTAGATCGTCGGGCTCAACAGGTAGTGATCAATGGCTCCATGTCTAGTTGGCAGCCGGTTTCAAGCGGAGTGCCCCAAGGGTCGGTCCTGGGGCCAGTTTTGTTTAATATCTTTATTAATGATCTGGAGGATGGTGTGGACTGCACTCTCAGCAAGTTTGCAGATGACACCTAACTGGGAGGCGTGGTAGATACGCTGGAGGGTAGGGATCAGATACAGAGGGACCTAGACAAATTAGAGGATTGGGCCAAAAAAACCCTGATGAGGTTCAACAAGGACAAGTGCAGAGTCCTGCACTTAGGACGGAAGAATCCTATGCACTGCTACAGACTAGGGACCGAATGGCTAGGTAGCAGTTCTGCAGAAAAGGACCTAGGGGTCACAGTGGACGAGAAGCTGGATATGAGTCAACAGTGTGCTCTTGTTGCCAAGAAGGCTAACGGCATTTTGGGCTGTATAAGTAGGGGCATTGCCAGCAGATCGAGGAACGTGATCATTCCCCTTTATTCGACATTGGTGAGGCCTCATCTGGAGTACTGTGTCCAGTTTTGGGCCCCACACTACAAGGAGGCTGTGGAAATATTGGAAAGAGTCCAGCGGAGGGCAACAAAAATGATTAGGGGTCTGGAGCACATGACTTATGAGGAGAGGCTGAGGGAACTGGGATTGTTTAGTCTCCAGAAGAGAAGAATGAGAGGGGATTTGATAACTGCTTTCAACTACCTGAAAGGGGGTTCCAAAGAGGATGGAGCTCGGTTGTTCTCAGTGGTGGCAGATGACAGAACAAGGAGCAATGGTCTCAAGTTGCAGTGGGGGCGGTCTAGGTTGGATATTAGGAAACACTATTTCACTAGGAGGGTGGTGAAGCACTGGAATGCGTTACCTAGGGAGGTGGTGGAATCTCCTTCCTTGGAGGTTTTTAAGGCCCGGCTTGACAAAGCCCTGGCTGGGATGATGTAGTTGGGAATTGGTCCTGCTTTGAGCAGGGGGTTGGACTAGATGACCTCCTGAGGTCCCTTCCAACCCTGATATTCTATGATTCGGCAACGTACATTGGTAAATTCTGGCTTCTTCTCAGGCTCAGGTTGGCCACCCCTGGCTTATGGTGCCGTTATGTTCCAAACAGGACAATGAAGAAGTGTTAAACTTTCCTACAGGTTTCTTGCATTCCTTAGATGTGAGATGAGTTCACATCTTGCCCTGAGGAGGGACAGGATTAGAAAAACTCTTTGCTAAAAACAACAGGCTCGTTAATTTTAGCATTCACTTTAGGGACAAACTCAGAACGAAGATGTGAATCAAACTTGCCTGGGAAGAACTGCAAGTAAGGAGGAGTAACTAAGGCCACGTCTACACTACAGAGCCGATGCTGGCACAGCCCACTAGTGTAGAGACGGCGTACACCAATATAAAGTTGGTCTGCTGGTGCAGGAGCACCACCTCCCTGAATAACATTAGCTCTGCCAACAGAAGCACTCTCCTGTTGGCACAGCCGCATTGGTGTTGGTGGTTTTTTGGCACAGCTATTTTGCTAGGGGTGTGTGGTTTTTTCACACCCCTGACTGACATAACTATGCCGGCGTAAATTTTAAGTGTCGATCAAGCCTAAGAAACTAGCTCTCTTATCCTCCGGGCTGAGATTACAGCAACATTAAGATGAGGAACTTCACAGGAATTTGGTGTATGGGTCCAATGAGAGGTCCCATATGAACCTAGAAAACAAGGGACATGTAACTATACGGCGCAAGGGTCTCTAATAGCCCAGACTAAAAAGGTGACAGACGTGGGTGACAGCCAATGCCCCACCTCCAGTAGGGCTGCAGAGAAAGCAGTGGCTGAGTTCGGTGGTGGAAGAGGTAACTGCTGATGCCCTCCAGCGGCATGCCCTGCACAGCCAACAGGCTACTACTACTAGCCTATTTCAGGGCTAGAATTATAATTATTATTTTTTAAAGAGAGCTCCTACCGTCATCTTACTCTAAAATTACACTGATCAACAATCAGCTCATTTGAACTGTATTTCATTCCAGGTTGTGATGCAGTTTGAGCAATGAGTGTGATGGCGATTAAGCATACATACGAGAGGAAGAATACCTCACTGGTTCGGGTCCTGCCTAGAACTTGGGAGATCCAGGTTCAATTCCTTGATCCACCAAAGGCTTCCCAATGTGACCTTGGGCAAATCAGTCTCTCTAAGCTTCTGAAATATGGGGGTAATACCACTGCCTCACGTGGTGGCAGGAGAATATGTTAAAGATTGTGAGGTGCAGGCTACTATCGTAAAGGGGTCATGTAAGTAAGTGATTTTATAAGAGTATTTTATTTTACACTTGCATATAGGGATGATACAGAATGATTTAAATGGAAGATCTTTTAACGCTTGGAGGCTTGAATGGTATGGATGAATTTATACAAGTGGATCATCCCTTTGGATGCATCTAATATATTGTGCCAGGATGTCTTTTCCACTCAAATTCATAAGCCAATATCCTTCTTGCTCAGGATGCTCCTGAGGGCATTCTGCGCCAAAAAATTAAAAATCCTGCACACAATTTAAAATTCTGAAAAATTGTGCAAATTTTGTCAAATAAATGTGAGGCTCCAGCATGGCATTGGGGAGCACAGACCACTGGCTGCACAGATGTGGGCAATCACTGTGCAGCTCCCCCGCCAGGACATGGACTCAGCGGTGAGGCTGCACCCAACCCCAACACAGTGCAAGGACTGGGCCTGCCCCAGAAACACCCCGGGGCCCTGCTCCTCTGTGCCAGGTGCACCAGATGTGGGCAGGCAGGCTCAGCAAGGCAGTATCCAAGTTTGGAGGGGCTTAGTGTGGGGGGATCCAGGTGTGGGTTGAGAGGTTCTGTGTGGGGCAATCTGGGTGTGGGCAGCTCAGTGGGGGATCCAGGTGCAGGATCTGGATGCACAGGGGCTTGTTGGAGGGTTCTGGGTGCAATGGTAATGGGACTCTGCAGGGGGGTCCAGGTGAAGGTGGCTGGGGCTCGGGGAGGGGGGGAGGTCAGAGTGTGTGTGTGTAGGGGGGGAGAGCTCGGAAGGGAGATCTGGGTGTGGGGGGCTCAGTGGCGTGGGGATCCATGTGCAGTTGGTTGGGGCTTGGTAGGGTGGGATCCAGGTGACTCGTTGGGGTAGTCCAAGTGCTGGGGGCGTGGGGCTCGTCAGCGGGGGTTATGGGTATGGCGGCAGAGTCCAAGTCTACAAGACTTTTTTTTTTTAATCACCTGCTTAAAAGTTACAGCTGCATAACAAACAATTTTAAATTGAAAACCGTATGGTATACTTTATTCTTGTAACTGGAATAAACAGTTTTTGAAAACTGGGTTCAAAATTTGTCACGGTTTACCCTGGAGCATGTTGTGTAACTGACAACAGGATCTAACTCTGTTGGAAAAACATTTGCCATTCAGAAGTTTTATAAATGCTTTCCAACACCCAAATCTTCTATCATAAACCATTTGTCATATCCATTTTAACATCACTTTTCTGAACTCTTGAAAACAAGCTCTTCATTTTTGAAAACTCTGGGCCAAATTCTGCCCTCAATTACACACATGCCTCCTCCCCACCCATTGATTTCATCACACAGAATTAGGGCAGAATTTGGCCCTCCCTCCCTCTTTTAACACAGCCTGTATCCTTCAGTAGAATGCAGTAATTTACAGAGTGAAAAATCAGATGTGTTGTCTCCCTGGATCCATGCTTTTGAGGGAGATGTGGCCTGAGTTTCACAGGAATGCATGGAACTACTCCCCCACTTTCCCAAAGGAATATGCGCTTGCAAATGCCCGATGGACTGGACTTTGCTACTATGAGAGTTCTATCACGCTAACAACCCAGCCTTGGATCTTTCTTGAGCAGACTCAATTACACTAAAAATATCTGTACCAATGATATGATGTGACTTAACATCCGGCGAATCTTTGATTTGACTGGTGGGAGCTCTCATTCATTACATCTGCAGGACAAGGGTTATGCACAACACTATCCATCCAACATTTAAGTTTGTTAAAGTGGGTCTGATAGGAAAATTTCAGACAGCGATCTAGGTGAAAGGTAAACACTCAAAGCAGAGTCGATTGCTCTTAGATATGTTGTGGAAAAGGGATGGGAGGGGGAGAGGGGAAGGTAGCAAGAATGCCTGAGGTACGTATAAGACATCCGAAACCAAGCCAAGCACTTCCGGATAGATCGCTGACCATTCTGCTTTTTTTACCCAAAGGCCTTCCATTATCTCACAGAAGAAGACAGCAACACTTATTTGCTCAGAATAACTCAGCATTAAGCTTAGTGATAAACAATATACAGAGCAAATCTAGCCCCAGATCCTCATCCCACTGACGTAAGAACAAAACTGCACTGATTTCAAAAGGTGTGGGATCAGGTCTTTAGAACACATGAAACTACAGTTAGCAAACAGATTTTTCCATTCCATGGCCAAACTGAAAAATCTGAAGAAAAAAAAAATCAGTTAATTTCTAATCAAAACTGAATTTCTCTGTTTTTTCTTCCTCAAACAAAAACACTGAAAAAATGTTTGGGTGAAACAGACATTTTGTTTCAGAAATGTCAACTCAAAATGAACCATTTTGACATTTCCACAATTTCTGTTTGCAGTTTTTTCAACTGAAACTATTCAAGTTTGACCCGAACTGGTAAATAATTGATGCCTCGAATAATATATTTTTCAATCAATTTACTGTTCTCGGAAGACAATTCACCCAGCTCTACATGAAACGTGAAGATTGAAATTTCAATAGCTAAGATCTGCAAAGAAACACTAAATGTGGATCTCTGGAAGAGGTTCCATAAATCCTCTACAGTGATGCAGTAAAATTGCCAAACATGAAATTACACCAAACACAATCACATGGTGTTAACTATACAGTAAGAACATTTATTTCAACACTTAAGAGATCTCTCCCAAGCCAGATGATTTGATATAGAAATCAAAACCACCATACATTTTCTTCTCTGTCTTTGTCTACCTTGAACTCAAATTTATACAACATCAGAGTTTGCTTCTGAAACAAAATTACAAATTAAATCATAACAAAAGACACAAAATTTACTGGACCCTAAATTAAATTGTTTTAAAGAATTCTTCTCTCCTCCTGAGATCACCTGGAACTAAGTTCTTCCCCCTCATCTTCCTCCTCATCTTCCCCATCCTTTTGCTTGGCCATGAATTTCTGTGGGGGGAAAAAGATTTTAAAACATCTTACTTGTAGCCAATGACAAGACACTGCAGTTAACACTTTATTCTCCCTGGCAGGATATGCATCATGTTCTAAATAGAATGCACATTTACGTGTATTGAACATCCAGAATCTGGCCAACTCCTGAAATTGACTAGACCCAATCTCCACCAAAGTTTGCCAGTTAATTTTGCCTAGAGACTTATCTTCAGGTCTGCTGGTCAAATGCACTTATCAATGCTCCTCTTACTCTCTCAAAGCACACACCTGCATCACTGGGGAGATGGTGTAAACGACTCCTAAATTAAATTTTCTGATGGTCAAATTAGTATCTTAAGTTACATGTGCAGCCATTTTAATCACAGTCTGGAGCCTTGATGACTAACTTTTGGCAAGGCTAGGGAGGGGAAGATATCACAGATAGGATTTCCCAGCATTTAACTCAATGATCAAGGTCATTAAGGGGTTAATAATTTCATTTATTTAATTTAAAATGTAGTACACTCTTGAAGTTATAATTTTTATTTGATCTACAGAACATAGCTATGAGGTATTGAAAAAAACAATATAATTTGCATCTATCTGCAATTGGTTTACAAACCATTCTTTTCATCTAGAACCTATCGGTTTAGCAAAACCACTACCTGAGATAATTAGCTATTGACAGAACAAAATAGATTTTAAAAAAAATCTCAGGTACTTTATTACTTCGGTTTAAAGGGAAAGAAGCAAAAATTGTTACCTCCATATTCTGCTGATGACGCAGTGTCTTGCAATGATTTTTCATAGACATTTCACCTGCATAGAAGAGAGAGCAGATCTGACAGAAGTAGCCAGCCTTTGGAACAAGAAAATCTAAACCTTAAAAAAAAAAAAAAAAGAGAGAAAAAAGTTTAATAATTCATCTACAACTCTCAATTAAAATCTACCAGGTAAATTTAGCCAAAATACGCACGCACGCGTGTGTGTGTGTGGTGGTGGTCTTTTGGTAAGGCCGGAAGGGATCACCAACTCTTCACCCGCACGCTAACCCCAACAACCACAATTAGTTATTTGGGTATTACAGCCCACAGAAGACTAAACCATTATGTGCCACAGGAACAGAATAGGAGGGACCGAGGTGCACTAGTTCACAAAGCCCCTGAAATGGGGAGCCATTACGCGAAATATATCCAGATAGTCCTAGCAAGTGACCTTCACTCCGTGCTGCAAAGGAAGGTTAAAATCTGCATGGTCACTGCCAACCTGACCCAGGGGAAAAATTCCTTCCTGACCCCACATATGTAGACCCTGAGCACATATAGTATGACTCAACCAGCTAAGCATGTGGAAGACAGAATGCTCGGTGCCACCTCAGACCACCGTCCTACCCATCCAGTGTCCCATGTCTGATGAATCAGAGAAAAGAGACCAAAGAAAACCCAGAATACATTGTGGTTTTGAGGGGATAACCTTTCCTGACCCCCTGAAGCATGAATTTTAGGAACATAAGATGTAAGGTATAATTTGTAATTATTAAGTGCCTTGTTAGTCTTTGCATCATTTAAATCATTTTATATGTACTGTTCTCCCTAAACATAATATATTTCATTAAGTGAATTATGCAAGCATGCTCTAGATCAAGGACAATTTTATACAAGCATCATGTCAGAATTCAAATTTCCTAATAAATTCCTTTGCCCTGTGCATGTACATGCTTCCCAAATCCAGTAATCCAACATGGCTACAATAACACTGCAAACAAAATTAAAAATTATGGCACCACAAAGATCAGTTCACATGGACATCTCAACTCCCAACATTCAAAAAGCCTTAAATCTTAGGAGATGTCTACACTGCAATTAAAATCCCACGGCTGTTCAATTCCAGGGTAGACCCTCCGGTGTCCCCGAACTCAGGCTCTAGCCCAAGCCCAAACGTCTACACTACAATTAAACAGCCCCTTAGCCCAAGTCAGCTGGCATGTGTCAGCCATGGGTGTCTAACTGCAGTGTAGACATACCCTTACGGAACAGAACATCTTAGCAAATCATTCACAGCACTAGAAATAAACCTTATACAATCTTAAATAATTTTCTCTCACAGGTGTAAAAAGGTATTTCATCCATCAGAAACACTGGATTATTCAGTGTATGTATGCATATATTTTATTTATAAACATGCATAAACAGTGCTCACAGTTCCTATAATTAAGATATTAGTTACTAAAATCAAGTTTTATTGGGATTTAGAACTTTAAACCAAGATTTTAGATTTTACCTTTTGGAGTGCTTGGTGTCTTGGATTTATCTGCTGAGGAATCCACTTTTCTTCGTTTAGACTCTGGTTCCGTATCTCCTGATCCAAATTCATCTGTTAAAGCCATAAAATAGAGTTTGTAGCAAGGACTTACACTAATTTAAAAGGTATTCGGTACATAGCTTAAATATTTTTCATTAGTATGGGAAGCAAACACCAGGTTTATGACCATTACTGCTTCTTACACTGTTTGGCTTGCCAAGCTAGAGAGGTTTTTTTTGTTTTTTTTTTAAACAGACATAGGGATCGTATCACCAGATGAACTTGAAATTCAACATTTGTATTTACTATGTCATTGCAAGTGCCTTGTTTCCAGCATGAAGCTCATTACAGACAAAAGAAGCACTACAACTGCTCTCAGCTTCTCCCTTGTAGAGACATCAGCTCAGAATTCATAGATTCCAAGGCCAGAAGGGACCACTGTGATCAAGTCTGACCTCCCTTATAACACATGCCATAGCACTTCCCTAAATTAATTCCTGCTTTAAGTCCAATATCTATCTGTGACTGAACTAGATTGCATCATTTAAGCAAAAAATGACTCTTGATTTAAAAATCTCCAGTGAAATACCTGGATAAATTGCTCCAATGGTTAATTACTCTTAAAAATTTGCACTTTATTTCTAGTCTGAATTTGTCTAGCTTGACTTCCAGCCACTGGATCCCATTATACCTTTGTCTGCTAGACTGAAGTGCACTCTATTACCAAATTTCAGTTCCTGATGTAGGTACTTAAGACTGACTTCTGTAGCCACACAGAAATTAAAATGTTAGGAGGACATGCAGATTGTTGTAACATTCTCAGTGCATTTCAGTTTACTGAAACACAAACTTACGTTATACAGGTGTAATTGACGGATATGCTGCTCAATACTGAATTTTAAATACTGCACAGATGTCAACTAGTTTCATTTGGACTGGAGAACACATTCTATTAAAAAAAATTAAGGGTCTGTGGAAAGAGTTTCCTGGTTAACTTGGTCTAAGGCAGTGGTTCCCAAACTTTAACAACCTGTGAACCCCTTTCACTAAAATGTCAAGTCTCACGAACCCCCTTCTAAAAATGTATATTTCCTGAGTATAAATTATAAAAGCAATGATCTTGTCAATACACAATTTGTTTTTATGACATGCTTATTACACACTATTTATTATTAATTATTATTTATCGTTCCAGTATTTTGATTACATTATGAAAACTGCAACATTCTTCCAAGATCTCACTTTCGTAGCGTGTATCACTTTGAATAAGCCTGTTATAAAACAAGACTCCTATGTTTCATCAGGGAGTATCAACTGTGAACCAGCAGGAAGGTATTTAAGAAGCCAACTCAAAGAGTTCCTCCTACACAAGCATTCAGGTCTTGAGCAGTCCACGTAAACAACATACATTACAACAAAGCTTAAACTTGTTCTTTATAATCATTTTAAAAACAAGACTAGCTGCCTATTTAATTTTAAAAACAGCAAAAAAATATCCACCTCTCTTTCCATTTCTTATAAGGAGTCTTGAAGTTTAAATCTCCTCAGTATGATAGATAGGCTTGCTTTGATCTGCTTAGCTCTTGGAAGTCCAGGGGCTCCGGGCTGCCAGCCCCATGCTGCCCGGGGTCCCTAGGGACAGCTCTGTCTGCCATTAGGGAATTTTTTCCTGAGAACCCCCTGTAACATTTTGCGAACCCCAGTTTGGGAACCACTCGTCTAAGGTAATACCAAAACATTTGCTTCTGGATACATGCAGATTGACAGGTTCCCCTGACCTAGAAAATGGTTGATTGCATTGTCATTATTAGCAGTAAACATTTATATTATGATTTTGCCCAAAGGCCTCAGTTAGAATTGAAGCATCATTGTGCTTACTAGTGTAGAAAACCGAGAAAAAAATCTTTGTGGGTATCTGAGCTCCCAAACATTAATGCACCCCAACATAAAGCTACAGGACTTTGCAGCTTGAATTTGAGTAACATTTGGAGGCTTTTGTAATCTTGTTTCTAACACGGCTACCACGCTGAAACTCCCTCAACAGTTAACCATTTTAAAATGGGTTCCATAGGTAATGTGGCATGGCACACTATCTCATACTGTGAATCTGCAGAAGCACTGTCATGAATGAGAACAGAATCAAGGACTTTCTAAAGGCTGGGTAGACTAGAGGAAGCACTAAGTACTGACTTTCCCCAACTCCTCATTGCTTGAAACTTTCCATCCTAGCATGTGCTCCTAAGAATCTGTCTCTACTGTTAATCTGTTCAACTTGACCTTTGGGCCAGAGACTAGGGGGAGGCAAATTGTACCTGGAATCCTGGAGGAGTGTGGGGCCTATAGAGGGGAAGAAGCTGACAACAGTATACATCAGTGTTCCTGAATTCTAGCTATGGGAATTCTATCATGTTGTGCAATGTAGTATACACCTAAGCCAAGCCAAAAAACCTGAAAGGGCAAAATTAAAAAAAACAACAACAAAGCAGTTTCCAAAATGTTCTGTTACGAAAACAGCTACAACTTCCCTTTAGGGTGAAAATGGATGAGACTCCAATGAAAAATTATGAACAAACAAGATGACAAATCTCTACATCAGCTCTTACCTTTCACCGTTTTTTCAGAAGATTGTGAAGGCGTCTCACTGCAGCCTTCCTGCTTTATATCTGCATCAGGCAGCAGACTTGCATTTAGATCAGGTAATACCGATTCTGTATCTGGCGCTTTAACAGTTGCAGCCTGACTGTCTTCACTCAAACGATGTGATTCTGGGGTAGTCAAGCTTCCCTTTCCTATTTTCTCCTTCTTGGAATCAGATGTTGAGCCTTCCACTAACTCTGTTTTATCTGCTGCCTCCTCAGTGTTCTTGTCACACTTTTCTTGCTCTGTTTCAACAGGTGTCTCAGGTGGTGGAACAATTGGTCTTTTCCTAGGTCTACCTCTTTTGCCTGGGGTTTTCACTACATAAATACAGAACAAAGAATTATATTAACTCATTTACCATGTATCAAAAAGCATTTCTTCAGATTTATCAATACCATTAAAATTTCAAATGAAAAATTTAAGCATTTGGCAATTTTTAAAAAAGCCTTTTATATGTGCAAGTAACTTTGTAAATGTGGTTCTCCCAGAGAATGATGAAAGGAAATAATTTTTCACCACATTTTGCTGATATTACACAGTATGTTTTCATACAAATGAAAGTCTGAGATAAGTCTTTAATTTAGATTCATATAGAAATCAGAGTCTAAAAAAAAAAAGTTTAGAAAACGTGCTAATAGACCTGTGACACGTACAGACTTATGGGACTGCTACAATTATCTACAGAATGTGAAAAAATACAATTATTCCTTTTGGATTGACCAAACTGGCACTAAAGTGATGCCTACTGATTAAAATAAGCTAAAGTTTAAAAAGTTCCCTGTTGTAATTATGAAATTTGTGGCCTCTGCAATTTTCCCCCCATCTGCATTGTTTCATCTTTCCTTCTTCTCCATTAGTCGTATATGTCCAGAGGACAATCAATTGCACAGGAACTAAGTAGGATAATGGTTTAATCCATAAATCCTTCACTTCTGGACACCCATATTTATATCCTAACTTCAGGTCAGCAGTGGGGAAAGTAACTAAAACAGGAGATGCTGCATATCAGAACTGAAATGCATCAGCACTGATGTGAGGGAAAACTCGGCAGTACTGGATCGACACTAAGCATTAGCATTGGAGAGAGTCATTCATTTTCCTTGCAACTTTATTCAAATTTTATAAAGCTCTCCCGCTAAACTCACGCCCTTTTATACTTATTCTAAGATATTTGACCTTAATTTGTCTGCAGTTGTATATCACAAATGCTTCTGTCCATGTCTGGCTCTACTTCCTACCTGGAGGCTGCTGCTTGTTCTTAGTTTGTCTCCCCATTTCATTTGAGTCATGCGCTTTGCTCAGGCTTAGCTCTGTAATTAAAGATAATATTTAACTTCTCCGCTTTTATTTAGGTAGTTTGTTTCTTCTCTTCATTGATACAATATCCAGTTATCTGCCCTGTCAGATACTGGCTACTTAGCATAGTTTTAAATGTCTTTATGTTGATTGTTTAATTACAACTTTTAAAATGCATCTATAAAACTATCAGTTCCTACCTGCAGACCGCTGCTCACTCTCAGTTTCTCCTTTGATCTCTTTTTCACTTGTCTTGTTCCAAATTTCAGCTTTTTCAGTCTCCTCTTTATTTGCTGAAAGTGCCTCCTTGTCTGCCTCCTGTGTATCTGCTACAAGGGTCTCCTTTTCTATTTCCTTTGTGTCAGCTTCAAGAGTCTCCTTTTCTTCTGACTTCGAGTTTGCAATATCATCCTCCTCTTCTGGCCCTATATCTGCCAGAATTTCCATTTCCTCTGGTCCTGCAATTGCAACAATATCCTCCTCTTCCAGGTTTGTGCCTATAAAAGTATTTTCTTCTTCCTCTTCATCCTCCTCCCCAACTTCGTCTACAGTAACAAAGTTTAGTTCCTCTTTTAAACGGTTGAAATCTGCCAAAAAGTCTTCGTCATCTTCAGTAACTTCATCTAAAGTTACTAGAGGCTGATCATCACTGTCTTCCTGTATTTCATCTACTGTCACTAAAGTACTAGGATCTTCAGGCAGCTGAGAAGAGATAAAGTCTCCAGGATCCTCAATAGCCCTTTTATCATCCTCTTCCTTAGGTTTTAAGGTCTCCTCAATATTCAAATCTGAAGGCTCATTTAGAGGGAGCTCTTCAACTTCTCCTATTTCATCCACAGTTACCAAGGGTTCTGCTTTCAGAAGATCTTGCTCCTCATAAACTGAACTGGAGACATCTTTAGGTACATCATGTGAAGAAAAGTCTTCCTGTTCAGATATCTCATCTAAAGTAACAAGTGATTGTGGGTCTTTTACTGCTTCTGAAATCAGCTCCTCTTCTTCATTTACTTCATCCACAGTAACTAGACCCTGTGGGTCTGTTATTGCTTCTAAATTGGAGTCTCCTACCAGTTGTGCAGTCATCTCCTCCTCTTCTCCAATCTCATCCAAAGTGACAAAGGATAAGTCGCTCTCAGCAACATGTGCTATGGAGCTTTTACCTTTCTTCCTCTTAGCAATAGGCTCAGAGGAAGCGTTATTTTTAGCAGAGTCTTTTCTTTTCCCCCGGGGTGGATTTCGTCTGGTTTGAAGAGGAGAGTCTGTCTCTTCTACAACCTCATCCACAGTAACAAACTCATCCAAGTTAAATGGGAAAAGCTCTTCTTCCTGTGAAATGTAAAACTATAAATTTAGTGGGCAAAGTGCACCAATACTATAATGTCTGCCATCCACATTTTAAGACAGAACATGAAACTGCAATGTTTCAAGTGAATTTAGTGGTTGTGAAAGTATCTGCAGTTTGAAGTTGACAGTGACATTTTAAAGTCCAATAGCTAACCTATGTATCATACACTAAAATGGACAAATCCCACTGAAATCAAAGACATTTTATTTTGCATATGTAGCACAAAACATTATGTGAATGGCTACATATCAACAGGAATACATACACAAGAAACTCATGGAAAGAAAGGTAATGGAGAGTTAAAAACTTGTTCCTGTAACAGTTTAGGCCCAAAGCAATTTGACTCTCTTTCCTATCAAATACCATAGCTATATAAAAAGTGACTGTACCCTTATTCCTTATTTTTTGGTAGTCCTGGCAAAAATCAAATTGCCAGTACAAAGAACTGATAGACCTGCAATGTCACATGCCATTTTAAGAAAGGAGAGAGAATACAGTCAAGTTTTTTTTAAATGACTTCTTTGGAACTCAAAAATGAAATTATTGTAGGTCGTCTTCTCAAATTTTGCAGGCAATAAGCACTAAAAACAGTGTCTCTCTACTGATCAGAAAGCAAAAGAGGACAAGAAGATTATCATGTAAGGCAGATGGAATATATAGCTAAGATTGGAGGGGAAGGAGAGAGTGGTTGGCTACACATCTCTAACTAAAGCAAGGCTTTTGTCTTCTTTTTTTCCCCTGCAAGTGGAGAAACAGTGTGTGTCAAGTAGCTGTAGAATGGTGAAAAATAAAGCTAATCATCATCAATCCCTGATTAGTAACTGACTTTCCATATTTACTGTGCCTTTTTCAATTTGCAGCATCTATACAAATCTCAGTGATTTTAGCACCGCTCTGGAAATAGTGTCAGGCAACATCTGCTTTACGGTAAGCAAAGGAAGCACATATTGAAAAACTGACTTTTCTCTCCCACTCCTACCCCCTTCCTGCCAAAACCCCCCAAACAATATGAAACAGAGGGACACTCATAAATTTAGACTTCTTCAACTCAGCTATCTGTAAAAACTATAAAAACCTAATCCCGACCAACCCCTTATTTCAACCAACGGTATATCAGGAATGTAAGTATTGTTTCTCTCTAGCATAAAGCACACAAATTATTTGTTTATGGGAGAGGCACTGTTATTATGGTTGGTTTAAATCCCTTCCATTACACCAGTTATTTGAGAGAGGACCTGGGAAGATTGTCTCTGTCATTCTTATCCCATGCCTCATCACTGCACTTGTAAGGAAGAGATCTAAGACAGGCAAATTTGAGATCTAATAGTCAGACAGGCTCCTTTTTGAAGCAGGCGAAATTTAGGACCTAAAAATTACCCCTTCAAAAAAAGTTAAGCTTTTTATATTCCTGAAACAGGAAACTCAGGCTCTCTTTTCCCCAAGATGAACATATTTTACAGACAACTAATAAAAAGTTCTAACGAACAGTATTCTGAAAAATCCACTAAGCAAGAGCTCTCAAGAGATAAAGCTAAACTCATTTTGTTCTCAAAGAAAATCGCTACTGTAAGTTCAACTATGTTTGGTTCCTTACCTCTTTTGATTTTACATTGCCACTACAGACAGTTTTAGAATTCTTACTAATTCGACCAGCAGGAACCTGCAAAATTAGACAAAAATTAAAATGAAACAAGTTAGCCAATCAACCATTTTGTCAAAAACAACTTCTTCTCTTAATGAAGTTCTTTTTAAATAGTCCAGATAGAGGCCTTTGATTGCATGCTTGGCATGTACAGAACTAAGCCAACCACCAATTATAAGTCCAGGCATATAGTCTCTAGTACCAAGTCACCGGTAATGTCTTGTTTAGTTATCTGTTCACCTTTCAGCAACCAGTGCCTGTGCGGGATAATCTAGGACTTGACAAAGGAAGCATCAGCTCACAAAAGGAGAGAAAACTTCTTTCCCATTCAGAACTATACCAAGAACATAAAGTTATGACACTCAGTACAGACCTGCTTACAGAAGTTACCTTCCTGCAATTTTATCCAAGTAACATTTTCAAACCAGTTACATACTTGAGTTGTACACAACTGGTTGCTTGCCATCCTGCTACTCCAACTTGTCTGTTGGCCCAAATCAGTTCAATAGTTTATAGAAAGGGGAAGGGGAACATAATCTTACTGTCTCATATTCAACATCTGGGAGAAGCATCAGAGTTAGTTACTGGTCAGCCACATTGAACCAGCCTTCCTGCCCTTCTCACCTTATTGCTGTTGTCGTCTTTCTTCATGCTGGATGATCTACTCTCTCTCTCCTGAGACTGCTTTGAACTACCCCTAGATTCCACTCTTGAGTCCTTGTCTTGCTGAGATGAACTCCTCCCACTGCCTGCCTTTACAACAACAGGACTCATGTCCAGTTTAGGTTTGGTGATGCTATCTGGCAGACTTGATCTGCTGCCAGTAGCTCTTGGTTGACCCACTTCTTTTGATGAAAGTTTCTTCTCAGTAGCAGATCTGCTTCTGGTCTCAGGTTTTGAGGAAGCTTTCTGCTCCTCTGTTTTAGTTAGAGAAGTCTCATTTCTCCGCATCATAACTCTTGACTTTGATATATCAGGGATAGACACCACAGCCTTTAAGATTGTTTTACCAACAGAGGTAGGTTCCTTGATGGATACAAATGCTGCAGCTGACGTACTTGCTTTGCTGGTTTCGTCTATTTTAATTTGTCCTGGTCCTTTATTTTGATGTGCCTTGATTAAAGTTCGCTCATTCTTTTCATTCAGCACATTTTTTTCAGTGTTCTCTGTGTCTGTCCCAACATTGTCCACAGGCTTTTCGGGTTTCTTCTCGACATCTGTCCCAACGTTGTCCACAGGCTTTTCGGGTTTCTTCTCTATGTCCATCCCAATGCTGGCTACAGGCTTCTCCAGTTTCTTCTCCGTGGCTGTCCCAATCTTAGCCATTGACTTTTCCAGTTTCTTCTCCAAGGCTGTTCCAACTTTGGCCACTGACTTTTCTGGTTTCTTCTCTATAGACCCCACAGCACTGGCCACAGGTATTTCAAGCTTAGTTTCCACTGTATCAGTAACAGCATTTTTTACAGGAGTATCCAATTTGTTGCTTGGTTGTATGTCTTCAGCTGACAGCATTTCTACCAAAACTGCAGCAGAATCAGGTGGCACTGCTTCAGAAACAGCCTCAGCTGTTTCCACTGTTGCTGGTTTCACAGCAGAGTCTGACTGCACATCTTCTAGCTTGCCCACACTGGATAACTCTTCTGATGATCCACTGGCAGGAACAGGAAATTCTTCGGGTTTCACTTTAGTTTCTCTTTCTGTTACAGTTGTGATAGCAGATTCCAACAATTCTGTTTCAGAGTTATCTTTAACTACCTCTTCCTTCTGAAGGTTGAAAGGAGGCAGCAGGATCTCTTCTGATTTAACTTTGGATAATTCATCATCAGCTGGTTTGGTTTCTGAGCCAGTAACTGCAACTTCAGATTCCCCCTTGGATGTTTCAACTTCCGATGGTTTTGTAGCAGAATCACATACCGTTCTTTCAGGCTCCAACTCAGAGGCTTCTATCTGCACTGTTGAAGTCTTGGCTTTGACAGAGTTGGAAATGATTTCTTCCTTTGCCACACTAGTCTCTACTGGAGGATTAGCAGCTGCTGTTTGCACCACTCCTGATCCCTCTGGTTTTTTTTTCAAGTCAGAGCTAAATGTATTTAAAAAAAACAAAAGAAATCAAACTATGTTGAGAATTCCACAGTTATCAGTAACCTCTTGACGCCAATGGTTGGGATTTCCTGATGCATTAGTGGCTTAGCATTGGGAAATCTAGCCTATCAGCGTTAAAATGGTTAGACTATTGAGGCAAATAACTGATTAGTTTACAATTTTTGTCTAATCCACTTCAGTACTGAAGACCTCTTATAATTCAAATTACATTACTTACTTGTAGTTAGATTTCTCTGAAGGTACTATACACTATAGATGTGTCCTGTGACCTCAGAGCTGACAAGCAAGCTTAAATTTAGATTCCCTGATGTGGGACAGACTGTGTACACACACACACAAAATGTAACTATCAGTTTTTCTATATAAAAATAGTCTAAAAACTATGGCAAATTTCTCAGCTCTCCAAGAGCGATGTTCGAAGATAATATCCTCTACAGTAACTACCCTACTGATCTCCTCATAAATGTTACAAGTTTAATAAGCAGTTTCCGTTTCAACTGAAATGATCTCGATTATAATTGTGGGAAAGGCCATGCGCAGACAGGGCCTCCTTTCTGCAATGCTATACTTTGCTGTTTAAGCTTACTGTCAGCTCCCAAGATAATAAAGCCCAGGATGACAAAGGTACAGGATAGCACTTTTCAGAGAACTTCAGTTACAGGCAAGTACATTAATTTTTCTCTGAGGAAAGCATTGTCTATAGACATTCTTGGGAAACTTTGAAGCTGGAGATGTCTAAATCTCCTTCTTCGTGACTCCTGAAAGTGGCCATCCTGAGATTACATAAAACTAGATGGAAAGATGCTAATACATCAATCAATTCTGATGTTCTAGTTAGGTGATAAAACACATGTAGATGATCAGTCCAGAGGGGATAAACAGAAAACTGGTTAATAAGTGGATATGCACCAAGATGTGGATCTTTACTATGGTCTCTCAGATCCAAAGTATATAAAAAAATATATGCACAACTATATGAATCTTCATGAAGGATACATGAAGGGCTGCCATTTTGTTAATACTTCTGGCATGCTGACATCAAGAACGTTCAAAGCTGACGCAAACGGAATCAATCACCGAAGGCCCAACTTTGATGTGGTAAGATATACATGTGTTAAAGACTACAGTAAGTCAAAACAATTCAAGCAGCCAAAAATCAATAAAGAATAAATCTCCATCACCTAAGCACAACAAGATGCACACCTCAATGTGCCTTGAAAGCTTACTTCGCACCTAACACCATCATCTTTGTCTGCCACATATATTGGAGAGAAATAGGAAGAGTGGGGCTAGTTCTGTTTCAGAAGGTCAAGTATCACTATAGATTAAGCACAGCTGTAACCTATTATACATCAGAGAATCAGACGAAAACTTGCAGGAAAATGTAGTCGAGCAGCTTCCATCTGTGACAGAGGATCTACTGCAGTCCTCCCCCGAAAAGGTGGCAGGCTCACAGCATTCCCACGTACAGCAGAAAAAAATCTCTCTTGGAGTACTGGATCCTGCGTGTTTCTGAACAGCTCTTGCATGGAATTTTGGGAGTTTCCTCCCGTGCCTCATTGTTTACTTCATGGTAATTGGAGATCTCATAAAAGTGACAGAAACATTTTCTCACTTGCCCACTCAAATAAAATTTTCTCCTTCCAAAAATTTGCTTGGAGTTTAGTCATTTCAAGTCAGTCATGTCCAAACACTGGTGGTTGGGGTGAAAGTGTTTCAATTAGTTTTTGACCAAACAAAACTAATCTGTTTCTCGTGGCACAAATATTAAAACACTGATCAGTCATGACAACGAAGACACTTTGGTATTTAACCACCTTAGAAAGACAGGTCTCTGAATACCAAAGACTCCTTTATGTTACAAAAGTGAGATCCATTTAAAATAAATCTCCCTTCTATTTGGGCATACAATAGCTCCCCGCGACATTTGCCTAGTGTTTTGTATGTAGTAAAAAAAACTCATCTGGACAACTTGATGGAGTGCATAGCCAAAAGAGACACTCCTGAAAGACTAGCTCCTATTTAAGAAGCATGGAGATTTTGATCAAAGATAAGCTCCATCTCCCCTGCCAAACTGCACACAGCTCAGCATCTGCAAAGGGGGAGAATCTGTCCATAAGCTTCTACCAGGAATGGGAAAAACAGCAAGTTTATTAAATAGCAGCAAATAATGCAAAACTATACATTACTTGCATCTTCAACTGCTTATAGTGAATGCTGTAAGTGCACACGCATACATCACCTATATAAATCAACTGAGATCAGTCTGTGGATCTTCAGGACTGTGTGACTTCTCTTGGAGAGAAAAGTACCTTGGCGGTCTCCAAAAAACATTAATCTGATAGATTCAAACTGGACTTTCACGGTCCAGGCTGATACATTCTGGGCAAGGAAGAAGAACTATGCAAGTTCAATGATGAGAGAGTGAGGCAAAAATATCAAGATGTTTGAAAATAACGGGTGCAAGGACTTGAAAGCCCTGCTACGCTTTGGGAAGGAAGTGGCATATTGCACTACCAGAAGGATATTTCCTTTTGCATAAAACGGGTAAAACCCACAAATATCTGATGCTCCAGTCTTGCATCTTCAGTCATTTGTGTAAACACCCACCCTCACTCAGAGCTACCCATCAGAGTTAACAATGGAGGTAAAATAAAGGGTCAGCTCCAGAGCAACCCAAAAAAGAGCAGGCATGTGCCATAAAGGATGCAAGATAATAGAGGCAAATCCTTAATTCTCCATTTTAAACTCAGATTAAGAAAGACTGCAGGTTTGTCTTCAATTCTTCTGTAATCTTAATCTGGAACAGGAAAAGTCTTGACTACATTTGCTGAAAGAAACCGCCACCTTCATTATTAGAAACAGTCGGGCTACCCATGCCAGTGGTTTACCACCCAAGCCAGAAGGCCTGGTGAATGGCTTTAGGCCATTTCTTCATGCTGGATAATGATCAAATGTCAAGAAACATTCCAAGATTTCTTTAAGATTATCTCCACCATCCATAGGAATCAGGAATACTGATCCCCCTTCTCTCCCCAAGTTAGCCTATCCCATTCCTCTCCACAGAAAAATTCCAGGGGGGAGGAGGGGAAGCGTGACAATAAAATAGCACTCTTCCCATATTATGGGACTTACTTTTTTGCTTCTTATATGGTGATTATATCTCAAAAGGATAACAGGCCTGGTGAGAAAGGCTTACAAAGCTGAATGTAAGGATCATTCCGACATGGAGACAACTGCCTCATAGGCTGAAAGGGAATCTGTACAGGGTGAAGTTGGTAAGCAAAAACTTTATTTTGTCCATTTGTTCACCAGCCACAGTACTATTTTGTGCAGTATCTGGGACTCATAAGGATAAGATTAATTGGTATTGTGCCTTATGGGTAGGTCAGCTGCTACCTAGAACCCATCAAACTGGAATCAGTAAGGTTACCTGAACATCTATATTGGTGTGACTCAGAACCACTAGTTCAAAAGTAGTTCCCCTATGCTTCCAACTTCCAATGTGCTCTGAACACCACTCATAAGTTTAGGAATGTCTCAATACACTTTTGTTTTACATTCACAGCTTGCTATTATTTTCAAAACCAGCATGTAGACCATGAGAGAATCATCAGGAGCACAGAGAACGAAGAAACCATGCTTTGAAAATATTACACCATTAGCAGCTGTGTGACATTACATATAAAGTCTTATAAAATGTTACTATACTATAGAATAATAGTGCACAACACTATAGTAACATTACGTTAAATGGTAAGTTTAGAACCATTATTAAAGAGCACTATAGATTAAATCTCTCTCTCTCTCTCTCTCTCACACACACACAGAAGTGGATCTGAGTCACAGAAAACATGTTAAGGACAAAAATTATCCTTTTCCCACCTACAGGAAGTACTTTGTATGATCTACTGTCATTTGAGATAAAAAGTATTTGCAAAACATGTTTTATATTCTAGAACCAATGAATAGTTACTCCATAATTAGATATTTTACAATCATTCAGGCATACAAGGTGCATTTAAAAAAAATTTCATCGAGTATTACAAAATAATAATTTCCTTTTTCTGGATTCTGATGTTAAAGTTAAATATCTAAACTAGTTTTCCATTATCTAGTTAGTGGCCTACATCAATTAGACAGAAGTATTAAATAAATTTAGAAAACGGAACCACCTCCTCTAATTTGTTTTAGCATTTGGAAACAGAAGCAATAGATCTTGTGCCTTGATAAATGACAGCACTGAAAGATGAAATATAGAAATCATCTACTGGCCAACTACAATGAGAACTTTTTCAGCAATAGAGTCTTCCACCATAACTTAAGCACATGGGTGAAATCCTGGACCAGTTGAAATTAATGACAAAACTATTGACTTTAATAGGGCCAGGATTTCACCATTTCTCCATGCTCATTCAGACCCCAGACTCTCAAGCAAACACACATTTAAAAAAAAAACAAAAAAAACCTCTATGCAAGTTAAGAAAGTAAATGTCTTTGATACACAGGACAGAGAGAGAACTAAAAAAAAAAGGAAGTGGCAGTAGGTAACTGCTAGCACATCTCTAAACAATCCAATTGCCGTTTTTTCCCCATTATACATAGCTTGCTTTTGAGAGAAATGTGTAGTAGACTACTTAATTCATCAATCATGGAGGGCCACTTTTTGAACAGTGCATACAGAAATTAACTTAAATATTTGAAAAGCATACCTTCCTTTACTTGGTTCTTGGTTTTTCAGCTCTTTTTTTGTAACTTCAGCCTATAACATAAAATCACCGAGTGTTGAACATCTATGAAATTCAGAAATAACAGCACAAAAAAAGTATATATGCCCAATACATCCAGTTAAAAGCACCACATAGCCCATTCATAACTACACCCGAAAGATCAAATGACAGTGAATAATGCAAGTCATTCTAAAAGGTCTTCTCATTACAGAACACATTTCATAAGATGTGTTTTAGCTTAATGTCTTGTGGCTCTTTATAGCTGTGATGACTTTGAAATGACTTAGCATTTAGTTTTTGTTACGTGGCGGGGGAGGAAGTGTGTTAAACATATTTCCCGTTCTAAGCAGCACCCTCTTTCTGGTCCTTTGTATCCCCACCAATGTAACACATGTAGTGCTCTGATACAACCATGGTTTGTCTGTCAAGAGACAGATATGCAGAGGACAAAAATTATCTATAAATAAGATATTCTAATGTATGTTCCAAATACAACAAATGTCACAGCTGTACTAAGCTAAAGGTTTGACTCTGCCCTCCAAAATGTACTGATGTGACACCTGTTTCTTAGAGGATAATCAATCCATTTTGTTTTTAAAATAATTAAACTCACTTCTTAAAATTTAGGGACTATGTCCTCTGAAAAACAAACCACTAACAATCCAAGCTCTCCAGCTGCTATGATGGGGAGGTAAAGTTCCAACAACCTTTTAAGCAATAACAGGGACTTTGAAAGTGGCAGTGCTAGGCTTTGGTTCAAAGTAGAAATATAGTGTTTAGAACTATATTATACTAAATTAAAGAATATCACCTTTAGAAAGAATTGCAGGTATACTCTAATGACAAAAACTGTTCTGGAACCCATTTTCAGATCATATGATTTCAGTATTATCACTTCTCTCCCATCCATCCAACACCAGATTTTAGTAATAAAGTAAAGAAAGTCAGTTTGTACACTTTGTAACTGGATCATGCTTGGAAATAAGAAAAATATAGCTTAACTGTTTGTTGGTTTTTCAGAATAAATTAAAAGGTAATGGGAGGCTTTTTAGAGAAAAGAATGCATATGGGGAAATAGAGCTGGCACTCTTGGGCTCTACAGAATGTGGATAACAGGATGTTTCACCACCGTAAAACTTAAAGAAGGGTGATGCACACTGAAAGGTTGCTGGGATTGGAAGCAGCAAGGAACAAAGGGGGACTCATCCTCTCTCTACTCAGGTGACCCACTACAGGCACTTTCCTCTCCTACCCAGCTACGCATAACAGAACTCGGAAGCACTGGAAAGTACACCTACAAAGTACAGATTTTGGATTGTGGGGTGAAAATTGTAAGGCCCTATTCACATAGATTAGAACAGTGCTAGATAAAAGCATGTTTAAAGGACAATATCAGCTCTAATTTAGAACCAAACAACGTAGGTGTTGTAAAAGCATCTTTTTTACAACACCTAATAGAAATATTTCCAAACCTTTTAAAAATATCAATAGAAATGTAATAAAAATAGATGATGCTCCCCTGCATTGCAAGCAATGTGGCATTGGGCTAGTACACGAGAACGTGAAAGTAAACTGATTTTCAGTTTTAAGATGACAAACACAAGATGTAAACAAGAGTAAAAAGTTAAAATGTTAAGACTTTCAGTTTTAAAATAACTTTAGGTGTTACTAGTATCATAAGTAAGGAATTTTTTTTTTTTTTAATATCAAATGGGTTTTAACAGAATGTTCATTTAAGCATGGTTGCTGCTAACAATGTTGATATACGCTGTTTTCATGAGGCTAGAAGGTGTAGTAACAGTATTATTCTATGTCCACACCTATAAGCCATCTTTAGATGTATAGACTGTACACATATAGGTATGTTTACATTAGACAAGTTAGTATTCAAACAACAGCCACCAAATGGTGAAATACCATCAGCATCACCCACTTACATAGGCATGGCTCAAGACATTTTTACCACTGTGTCGAACATATAGGCGTTTTCACTACTGTCAAGACCACCTGCAGGTTTTCATAACAGTGGTAAAAACGCCTGAGCCCTATCTACCCTACTGCTTGTATGCAGATGTTGCCATGTTGTTGGAGACTGTTGCTGCTATATGGACACTAGTTTTTCCCTTGTATCTTCCAAAGCACAGAGGAGGAAAAAAATACTGCTCTGAAAGCACAGAGTGCTGGAAGCTGCTCTTTGTTTGCACTGAGCTCTAATTTCATTAAACATGTATTGTAACAAAGCCACGTTATCTGGTGCTAAACAAGATATGGGCAATGGTGACAGAAAGCACATTTGCATCTTACAATGCATCTGAAGGAGTGGCCCTTGGGTGCTGTTGTCTGGACTTTACTGTGGCTACTTGGACGATGCGGGGGTTCAGGACAGGGTGGGAGAATAAGAACTTAGCTCCCTTAGGCATGAAAAAGCACTGCTTATCTGCCCTCTTGGAGGTAGGAACACAGGCAGCTGGTGTATGCTGTACCAGTTCTTGCTGGTTCCAGTATAGCCTCATTCAATGGGAGTGCTACTTGACTGGATCCCATAGGCTAGAGGACGATCAAGAGCGTGTGTTGTGGGTCCTGGACCTCCTATAAGGCAATCTGGAGCTGTTCTCCCACTCTCTGAAGCAGCTCTTTGAATTGTTTGTGGTTGTCCAGAGGAGACAGAGGCTGGAGCAACTGCCTCACTGGGCAAGATGATACACTTGCCAGTTCGGGTGGCACCAGCAGATTTGGCTCATTTTCCTCTTCTTCCATAGGCTCAGGAGGTTCCAATTAGCTTCTTGAAAGGAAGTGTGGTAAGATTCCCTATCATTGATATCACAGACTCTGGGAGCCGTACACCCAGATCCCAGTAAGACCAGCATGAGAGGTTGGAAGTAGGCTGTGATGGCACTGGGTACCATCATTTCCAAGGAGTGCGCTTCAGCAGACAAAACTGGTACAAGGAGATTCTCGATCCTCTGTCTGGTTGAACTCTCTTGGTGGAGAAGACGACTGTTTCACTGGTACATCCAACTCACCTGATGGTGAGAAGGTTGGGTACAGTTCTACCGGCAGTGCTGTCAGTACCAATGTTGAGAAACCACAGATATAGGATGGGGTAAGGAGATGGGCTTCTCCCTGAGTCCATCACTTCTTCCACTTAGTTTTATGTCAGTCCAGCTGAAACTTCCTGCTTTAGACAGATTTTTCTGAACTTCAGCTGAAAATCTTCTTTCAATGAATGCAAGCCAGCCAGCATCCCCGGTGTCTGATGTAACAATGCTGGATCCAGTTGTAGAAACCAACTATTGTTCTGAAAGACTGTCACGCAGAGCAGGCAAAGTGACCAGAGGCTGCAGTGAGAGGTTCACCAGACCTGACTATCTGAATTGCTCGACCCATGGCTGGGACCATCATATCAATCCAGCATGTCATCTTAGTTTCCTCAGCATCCTTGGTATCATGGGGATCGGGCATAAGTGCCCAGGGGATAAGAAAGGCATCTGACATGGAGCCCAGACTGGAGCTCCTTCTGGAGCAGAACACTTGGCCTTCCTTGTACAGGTCTATGGCAAACCGGTCTATTGATGGGTATCCTCATTTGCGAAAGATGCTCTAAACAGTGGATCCATGGTCAACCATTCAGTTGTTCGAGAGCTGTCTGCTGAAGTAACCTACTAGTGAGTTCTTAATGCCTGAAAGACGCAAGGCCACAGGGTTGGATGCCAAAATGAGGAGAAAAAAAGATCCTAGAAGGTTCTGCTATGCTCAGTGGTGGCATCAAATTTGCTGTGGGAGGAAGATGCTCAATGGAAGGGGTGAAGGATTGTCTGCACTGGAACCTCTGCTCCTTCCTTGGTGGTTCTAAAGTCCTCTCAAGGTTGTAGTCGTACTAAGGAGAGGAACACTGACTGAAGGAGCGTAGGTCTTGCTTGCTTCCTTCATTCTTGGGGCTGGGAAATACAGGACCCAGGGAATAGGACAGCCTGGAGTCCTTCAATGAACAGAGGGCCTCACTGGTCTCTGAACTGGTCACTGCCCTTTGAGGAAAGGTCTTTGATTGGGATTTGAACTTCCCTGGTTATCCCCAATGCCTAGAGCCAAGGTGATTGTCTCTGTACCACACGTACAGTCATGGAGCATGCCATTGCATATGCATCTAGTGCTGCTTATAGGGAAGTGCAGGCTACCAGCTAGCTGCTGCCCCTCATTCTTTATAAAGTAGAACCTCAGAGTTATGAACACCAGAGTTATGTACTGATCAGTCAACTGCACACCTCCTTTGGAACTGGAAATAGGCAATCAGGCAGCAGCAGAGACCCAAACAAAGCAAATACAGTACAGTACTGTGTTAAATGTAAAGTACTAAAAATAAAGGGAAAACAGCATTTTTCTTCTGAATAGTAAAGTTTCAAAGCTGTATTAAGTCAATGTTCAGATGCAAACTTTTGAAAGAACCATGTTTCGTTCAGAGTTAGAAACATTTCAGTTACGAACAACCTCCATTCCCAAGGTGTTTGTGACTCTAAGGTTCTACTGTAGATCTGAACTCTTCCCTATGTTCCAGAGGAAATCTGTACATACATTGAGATAGCTTATCCCAGAGTAAATCATTAAATTTTGCAAGAAGCATGTGGTAATTGGCTACTCACATTTATAGACTAACAGATAAGTAGGACTTTAAGTACAAGTTCAGTTTTTTAGCATGTGTCCCCCTAGGTACTGATGTGAGAGGCCCTTGTTGCTGTAGCAGCTCTGTAGAAATCCAAACAAAAGAACATGGCAGTGAGTGAGAATAAGTTTACTAGAATCTCCTGAAGGGACTTCTAAACCTTTTGTCTGCATGCCTGGATGTGGCATGAATTGATGCTGAGTCTGCTCAAAGAGTCCCTCATTTGTAGGCATGGCAAGCCTGCCGGGCACGGAAGGGAGTACAACGTCCAGCAGTTTATGTGATTTCTCTTGTACCACCTCTAACATCTCAAGTGTGTTGAGTGCTTCTGCCATGCATTTAATAAGATCTTGGAACACGTTACAATTGTCAACTGACTTAAGGGGTTCATTGCCTCATCAGGGAGGATGAAGAAATTGCAGCTGGGATTGTTCTCCCTTGTCCACCTGATCTTCACTGCTCTCCTCCTGTCTCTCAAACTATACTAAAAGACCTGGCTAGGATGGCCTATGCTATCTCTTGGGAGAAAGGGATCTAGACCTGGAAGGAGGCACGGCAGTCACTGGCTTGCAGGAATGGGGTTGCACACCGCAGGATGCCAGCAGGGCCAACGCTGATAGGCATATGTACACCAGACCCAGAGGAGGATACCAGTGGAGCTGTTCTCTGGCAGCTGTGCCTTTTCCTTTTGACAGACCAGTCCTTGAAGACTTTCCCATATTCCCACTGTGATTTACATGAAAGGGAGGGAGAGATCAGTCCCTACTGTGCACCAAAAGAGAGGAAGAAAAGGAGTATGCCTCCTCCAAAGGTTGGTCTGTTCTTTCAGGCATACTAGCGTGCTCTAATGTCCACTCTACTTGAGAGGGAGACAGAGTCAGTACTTCCGATACCTCTCTTGCCTATGGTTCAAGGTCATCAATGCCAGAATGGAGGCGGATGACCAAGGCCTGTTGGTTGATGTAGCACAGGAGCTCTGGATGGAATCTTGTCTCACCAAGCTGTTCACTGGGAGGGACTGACCAGAGGACCAAGGTTTAGCTGTGTCCTTCCTTTTGGGGTACAGAGAGGCTTGCATAGGGCGCTCCATGAGGAACAATTTTAGGCAGGCCTTTCTATCTTTCAAAGTCCGATTAGAGGAGGAGTGACATATGGCACATTGCTAACTAATATATCCCTCTCCTACACAAAAGAGGCAATTGAAATGTCTGTCGCAAAGCAGCACTCAAGCATCACACGAGGGGCTGGTTTTGAATCCAAGGGATTTCGCTTCTGCCATATTGTGCAAGCCCACATATAAGGGAATGGTGAAGGGTCCAGTCTAAGAACTAAATAATTGATTGAACAAGTTTTGTTTCTTGCCTATAAGCAAGACGACTAACATTTAATTAGTTTACTAGCAATACAAGTAACACACACTAAAAGCAGCACAGTGCACAGAGAAGCAGACAGACACTGCAGAGGTTCAGTCTCGCTGTCTGATGCAGTAAGGAGCAACTGGGCCTGCTCTGCCTTTTATACCCTCAGGTGCAGGAGATGCAAGGACATCTAGGGCACAGGCATGGCCCCAACAGACATTACTAGCCAAAAGAATCGGATTGTATGTGCATGAGGTGCATGCACACCAACGGTAGGATCCAAGTAGATTACAACTCAAAAAAGAATCCTTATCTACCCCAAGACTACCAAGAAGCTCAATTTTGTTTTTAAATACTTAGAATCTGGCTGTTCACATGGATTATTCAAAGCCTCACTCTGAGTGACCAGTTAGCCAATGATGATGTCACAGTTGTGTCTGAACTCCCAACAGTGAACAATTGGGACTGCATGACTAAACAAAAAATTCCTACATCCCTGTTAAATGGGGGTGGGAAGGAGGGTAGGAGAAATGGAGAGAGGTTAATGTGAAGACCAAAATAAAATTATCTTATGGGGACACGGTGGAGAGAGGCAGTGGGAAACGTGCAGCTGGAGAGTGGGGGGAAGATTAAGTTCTAAACTGATCCTTCTCTCTCCTAAACTGCTAAGCTTTCACATCAGCTGTAATTTGCGGTGCTTTCAGCCATATTCAGTAATTTCTCTTGTAAAAGATAAATTTGGGGGCTGTTCAATACTCCAAAGTTAGTTTTTATAAAAGAAAGTAACTTAAGTGGCTGCTGGCCCACAAACGGATGCTCAAACAACAGTTGGTTGGGGATTTTTTTAGGGGAGGAGGAGGAGGCTGAAAAAGATCAGCGAACCTTAAAATTAAGTATTTTCAAAACCATAGGGAAAAGGTGCTTCTAACCATTTTTCCATTATTTTCCTCTTAACCCTTTGATAGAAGATACTTTTAATAGGGGGAAGAGATTCCAGAAAACACAAAGTTGATTGTAAAAGATATTCCAAGAAAATAAAAGCAAATTGAGCAACAGTACTGTAATCTCAATATGCTATTCTAGGGTGCACATTAGTAGACTGTTGGAACATTTCTCTAGTAGCCGTAGGCACTCAAACTTTGGCTTTGACTCTTAGTGCACCTGAGGTTCAGGACTCCAAAGTAATGTGCACCAACAAGATTGGTGTTTACTTTCGTTTAGCAAAAGGCTAGATAGCCCACAAAAGCAAAAAAAGTTGTCTAACCAAAAAGACAATGGTCTTACCTCTGCAAGTTCTGTTCTTGGTGATAGCATACAAGTCAGTGTATTTTCACCCATGTTATATGGGTACTGTTTTAGGAAGCAGCACATTGATTTAGCTGAGTCAGGACTATCTAGCTGAAGAATTGCCTTTAAAAAAAAATGAGCACATGGATTTATTTATTCTATTTTGAATGCATAATTAAAAAATAAAGCCAACACTTTTCTAAGTAACAATACTGGTTAGGTTTGCTTTCCTTAGTCGAGAGCACCAACATAGGTTTACTAAAGTGACGTTGCTATTGCATCTGGCTTATTTCCTCAGCTGTACTGATATTTCTAGGACCTTTTCAACTTTTTTTTTAAATTACCTTAAAAAAAGACAAGGTAGGTGAGGTAATATTCACTGGAGCAACTTCTGTCGGTGAAAGAGATAAGCTTTTGAGTTGCACAGAGCTCTTCTTTAGATCTGGGAAAGCTACTCAGAATATCACAACTAAATACAAGGTGGAATAAACTGTTTAAAACAAGTAGTCGCCACATATTCTAAGAGACCATTCAAGGTGAAATAGTCCATTAACACCTCTGCAATCATGAGACAAAAAAAGAGGGGTTGGTGGGTTACAGATTGTTGTAATAAGCCATGAATCCAGTGTTTTTATTAAGATCTTGATTAATACCATCTCGTTCCCTCTGGGGCACCTGGCGTTGGCCACTGTCGGAAGACAGGATACACAGTATGGCCATTCTTATGTCCTATGTAAAAGGACAACATTGCTCCCTGCCTCAGATATTTACAAGACAATGGACACCCCTCAGATACCCACCCCAAACTCATCCATTTAATTCTCACCCATAACAATTTTACGTTTAACAACAAACGCTTTGTCCAAACCATGGGAACAGCCACAGGTACTAGGATGGCTCCCCAACATACCAACCTCTTCATGTATGTAGTGTTATTGTAGCCATGTTAGGCCCAGGATATTAGAGAGACATGGTGGGTGAGGTAATACCTTTTATTGAACCAACTTCTGTTGATCAGAGACACAAGCTTTCAAGCTACACGGAGTTCTTCCTCAGGTCTGGGAAAGGTACTTAGAGAATTGTGTTTAGCTATGACACTCAGTACCTTTCCCAGACCTGAGGAAGAATTCCGTGTAGCTTGAAAGCTTGTCTCTTTCACCAGCGGAAGTTGGTTCAATAAAAGATATTACTTCACCCACCTTGTCTTTCTAACCTCTCCACAGGCCACTTTGAGGAAGAATTTCTGAACAAACCACAACACCAAATATATAGCTCAGAAACATTGATATTTTCATCCTCTGGATAAACAACCTAAACTCCCCCACAGATTTCAACCACAACTTCAACAACCACCACCCATCCATCAAACTCTCTCTAGAACACTCTCAAATTAGCATCAACTTCCTAGACACCATAATCAGCTTCAAGAACAGAACCCTACAGGCAACTATATACAAGAAACCTAAGAATCACCACACTTACCTTCACAGATTCAGTAACCACTCCAAACACACCGAGAAATCTGTTAACTACAGCCAGGTACTCAGATACCACCGAATATGTTCCAAGAAGAAAGTCCAGAATACACACCTTAACACACTCAAAATCACCTAAGGACACTGCACCAGAGAAGTAGGTCAAATCATGGAATGGGCTACTCAAATACCCAGAGAACCTGCTTCAACATGGGGGAAAAACCCTCTGTAAGCATATCCCTAGCTGTTACCTACCACCCCACACTGGAACATAAAAAGGGCATCATTAAACCATTACAACCCATACTCGATGGAGAGCCACACCCTGAAAGAAATCTTTTCCAAACCTCCTCTTTTGGACTTGAAACAACCCCTCAACCTTGCCAAGTTCATCATCAGAAACAAGCTCCCATAGACCAGGACTCACCAAATCAAAGCGAAACCAGACCCTGCAACAACAGATGTAAAACCTACAGACATATCTCCACTTCTACAATGATCGACCGACCCCCCCGCCCCCCCAACTGTCAAGATCCAGGGTCCTACACATAGAATTATAGAAAAATAGGACTGGAAGGGACCAACAGGTCATATAGTCCAGTCCCCTGCACTGCCTATCACAAGATTTGGCGTATCTCATTCAGCGCCCTAAGTACCACAATAACAACTATGTGGGTGAAACCAGACAATTACTATGCTCTCAAATGAACTTGCATAGAAAAATGATAAAGACAAAAGCTCCCTATCAACCTTGGGTGAACACTTTTCACCATATTATCAACTCTATATTGGACCTCTAAGTCCTTGTCCTAAAAGGAAACCTGAACACCACCTTCAAAAGATGAGCCTGGGAGCTTAAATTCATAACTTTGCTAAACATTAAAAATCACGGTCTCAGGCCAGGTCTATGCTACACACTTACTTCGATATAACTACGTCACTCAAGGGTGTGAAAAATCCACACACCTGAGTGACGTAGTTATACCAGTGCAAATATTTGTAATAAAAAATAAATATAAAGTGAGCACTCTACACTTTGTAGTCTGTGTTGTAATTGAAATCAATATATTTGAAAATGTAGAAAACATCCATAAATATTTAATTAGTATTCTATTATTGTGTAACAGCGCGATTAATCGTGAAATTAATCGTGATTAATTTTTTTAATTGCACGATTAATCGCTTGACAGCCCTAATTAAAACATCAAATGAGACTTAAATAAGAAAACAAGATAAAATGTTTCATGCTACTGATTAGAGTAGCAGCTGTTTTAGTAATTTAAAAAATATATTTATATATTATTTTACATTTTAATTTAAAATACACATAAAAAGATAAAACAAAAAATTAATGTCAAAATCAAAACATTTTGTTTAGAAAAGCCAAAATGATTGGCTGTCTAAATGATTTCTTCAAAATTTTAGTTCTGTGGGAAATTCTAAAAAAATTCATCTTTTGTTCTGAAACAGAAGAAAAGTTTTTCCAAAATATTGGAATTCCCTGTGGAATGGGAAGTTTGGGTTTCTATCAGCTTTACCTCTCATTTCCCATCTTCAAAGGCACATATTTTGGTGGCTATCTGTCTTGATAACTCAATTCCTTTTTCTTCCAAGCCTTCTGAAACTATTCCTGAACCAGCCAGAGTAGGTAACAACATATACCACTCCTTTTCTCTATGACGCAAGAAGCACTGGTTCATAGCAACAATGGGCAAAATCAAGGTCCCAAATTTTAATCTTCAATCTCTGGAATAGCAGCATATGTTGCTAATGAGAGATTATCAGGTCACTTAATATACCTTTTTTTAAAATAGAAAATGAAGGGCCTCACACACCAAGATTAAAATATATATATATTTACCTTCTTTTTATTCTTCAACACAACATAGTGATCCACTTTCCCAAATCGAAGTCCCACGCAAACTACTTCAAGTTCTGTGTATCCATCATCTGGTAAATTACCAAGATGCACAAACTGATTATATAAAGTTTCTGTATTTACCTAAAAGAAAAGCACAAAGACTGAACTTCAGAAATATTGTATTGAACTGGTAAATATAGAAAAATTACTGAGACAATCCTGTCATATCTGAAGAGAAAAAATATTCATATATATCCTTTTACTCGGAGTTCAATTTCCATTTAGAATATTCAGTGAACCACAACATGTCTTCTATAAGAGTACTCCAGAAGAACTCTGCCTTCATCCTTTAACTGCTCATATTTTCAGAATTTCAACTTTGGTATACAAGGCCACATCCCAAAACAGTAAGAACTTTTCACTCCTTTAGAAACAAAACCACTTACAGCCTGTCACCTCAACTCTTGGCTGGAAAGGGATTTTATTTCTTGGGCAAATAAACCTATTTGTCTCCTGGTATTTCTTTGTCTTTGAATCATTCTTCTTCAACAATCAAATTTGGGCTTACTCTGAAGTCTGAGTTCCAACCTGTCTAAACCAAATTTCCTCCTTCTCAAGGTTTGTATCTGAAGACTGACAAGACCTTTCTTTGATGTGGGAAATTATTTTAGGAATTGGCCCATGTTAAAGCAAAGTAGAGGGTTCCTCCTATTCAAAGATTAATATATAACAAATAGGGAGCTGAACATTTGCTAAAGAGATGAAGACTGATCCAACTACTGGTCAGAATGCTCAAAAGGTTTCTATCTGCTGCATACATGGAGTCACTAATATGCCAGTTGCACAAGTTTTAGTAGATTACTATGATGAAATGGGAATTTTCTGTAGTATTTTATGAATTCTATGTGTACCTCAGTTTCCCCTTTCCACTGGGGGGCAGGGAGGATGATGTTTGCTCTCAAGGCCAACTAAGAGACATAGGCATGTGGGGATCATCTCCCTTTCTGGGTGGAATGAAGAGCCATAAAGGAACCCAGATCAACAAGGGGACCTGAGAGAGTGAAAGCTCCAAAGACTCAGATTTCCCTGTACCTCTCAGCAGGGAAGCTGAGCAGAGACCCCAGCTCGAGAACAAGGACTGGAAGCTGCGAAGTGGGGGCTTAAGAGTCAGCTTCTGAAAGAAGCTTGGAGCTCTCTCTCACCTAGGAACTGACTAAGGAAGGAAGTCAGAGAGACAGAGACAGAGCCTGAAAATGGAGTTCACTACAGCATGGCTGGTGCTCTGGGCTGACCAAAATGGACTATGTTTTAACCTTCATTTCTCTATGCTAACCTGAGGACATACTATACTGCCTTTCAGTTGACTAATAAACCCTACTGTTTTGAAAGCGCTGTACAAGTGTCACTGTAAATACTTGGTGAGGTCCATTAATCCCTGAATAGTGTACAAGTCTCTATTCAAGAGTCCATCTCAGTTGGACTGACTGAGCTACAGTGGCTGGCAGTTATAGTTTTATTAAAGTTGAGGGAGGGCAAGTGTGTGGAGAGAGAGAGAGAGAGAGAGAGAGAGAATAGGAGGCTCTCCCAGGACTCCTATTAAACGCTTATTACCTGCACTCATTCATAGTATGTATCTAAATAAAGTGTATGCTTACTCAGTCCACTTCTTGCTTCTTGTTGGTCTATGAGCTCTCCTATTGACTACAGACTTCTAATTAAATAAAAAGTGTAGTAATAAAAAAAAGAAGTGTCTTCTGTTTCTAATGTTAATTTTTAATATTTTTATTTAATGGATGCAACACTTACACAACATTTTATTAATTTTGATAGCACTCAGTGTAGCAGCTACACTCCCAAATTATAAAAATGTAAAAATTAGCAAATGGCTAAATTACTGACCAATTTTAAAAAAGTCTCTAACTTACCTTCGAGTTGGCATCTTTAATAATAGCAGTAAATATAGCTTCCTAGAAAGAAGAGACAGGGCGTTAAGGTTCTGAACTTTAGAAGATAGTTGATATGGCTGCATGTAATTGGAAGGCACAGCATCCCACTACTCCCACTAATAATATATCGAAACAGAACCTAAAAAGTTAAGATTGGGGCAACCATTCCAAAGTTCATGAGTTTGGTATTGCCAACCCTTCTCTCAAATTACTTTCATTATGATCTTCACATTCTCTTTGCCAAACAAAAATTCTGTCTACAACCGTATTCACTAAAATACTTCATAATGAAAACAGAAACACTAGGAAAGTAGTACAGTTGAGTTTTAAAATAGGATATACCCAAAGGGTTATAGAGAACCTTTATTATGTGCCCAGGAAAGAGAGGAGACAGGGCATACAATCAACATAACAATAACTTGAAACAGCAGGGACCTAATGGATATTAAGTAGAGAGAAATAGTCTAGACTGGCAGGGAGGTACTATAAAAATGGATGTTGAGTAACTGCAGTTATCTTAAACAGAAAAAAAAAATTGCTTCATATTTCATTTGCTTACCTCATCTTTTATGTTCTTGTATTCTGGTGCCATACTAATGCAAAGCTGATTTCCATCCACTGACATTGGGAAGCAGGTATAAAATTTAACCATGGAATCTGCAGATTTTTGATTTATTTCCAGATATGCCTTTTAAACAAAAAAGAAGTCTAAGTGGCCTCACAAAGCACAATAAAAAGGTAGAACTACCGTGTCCCCTTTAAGTTACTTCAACATCTGAACTTGTTACAAATTTCTTTGAGAGCTTCTTTAGGTGATGGTAATATACCAGAAAAATTTTTTCTAATTACCAATTACAATACCTTTTTATGAGAAGACAAAATTAAAACATCTTTCAGTCCTCCAAATGGCTTTGATAGGTTGGAAACTTCCTCAACAGAATATCCTTTATCAGGTAAGTTTGAAATAAGAACAACACACATGTCATCAAGTTCCTGCAAACAAAGGAAGGTACAAATTTTCACTAATCCTTGCTTCTACTCTAAACCAACGGTCAGTGAGCCTTTCTGAATTTAATTCTCGTTGTTTATCTTAAAAGTGCATGTATTATTCTCAGATAAAAACGACATTAAACTGGAGTTAAGTCTGACTACATAGCAGATATTTAAGAATAAAATTATGGTGATGCTGTAATTATCTCAAAAGCAAACATTACAAACCCAGAAAATTCAGAATTAAGATTAAGTAATTTCAAATATGTTAGGGTATGGAAACACACAGAGCACCCAAATCACCTTTATTCTGCGCTGTATTGATGCCATGTAATAACCATGATTAGTGCATAGTAAAGTCTGCAGTCCCAGATTAGATTAAATCAATTTCTGAATACACACTAGATTTTTCCTGAATTTCCTGGGTTTGTAATTCTTGTTTCTGGAATCATTACAGCATTCCCATAATGATTTATGAACTTCATCTTTGTGTTTTTTCTTAATGTTACTAGATGATACTTCTAACTATTAAGAAGATATGTAGCACTGACCCCAAGCCTTTATTATTATTATTTTTTAACTTTTAGGGCCAGATGCACAAGGACACACTGGCTGCTTTATGTCACTCTGGAACAGCACAAAGCAGCCAGTGTACTAGCCAGTTCCCCCCAGCTCCTGACCTCCACACATGCATACACACATCCCAGTTTTCTCTTCTCACCCTGCCCATAAATGTCCTTGCACACCATCCACAAATAGCCTCCTCCTTTTTTTTAATAGAGCAGAGATGGGTAGTTTTTAAAAAAAAATATTTAGGATTATCAGTCATTTTTTACTATTATTCTTCACAAAACTTCTCCTTCAGAATGAGTCAATGAATAATATTCTTCTACAGAGATTTCCACAAACTACCCTCTTTCAAAATGGCTGCCAACTCCTAAAGTTCTCAATTAATGTGAGCTACAGGATTGTAATTAACAGAATGACCTTCAAATTGGCCACGGCCTCCTACTTCCAAATGAGACCAAAGCCAAGCTGCCTCAGGGAAGATGGTGGGTAGATGACACCATCTTTAACCCCTGCAGAAGGAGAGGCTCTCCATTATGAAGAGCAAAAAAGAACCATTAATCCTAAAACAAAATCTTGATATAAACCAATGCACAAGATTTTAAGAGAGGGGTTAAGTATAGGGAAATTTGAAGGCTCTATATTCTTCCACTATTAATATAATTTGTTACGTAAAAATGGCCTGACACAGGATGCTGAATTTCTCGAAAGACCCATTTAATGAATTTATACTGAAACTAATTAACTGATTTACTTGTAATTTCTCAGAAAATTCATTCTGTACTCAAAGAGCAAGTACTATAATTTTCAAGAGGATATACTAAATTAAATTCCTGCTTTAAGAGTAAAACTCAACTCACCCTTAACTATGGATATGTGAGTGGCATTGCCATAATTTGTTAAGACTGCCAGTGTGTGCTAAGGGCACTGACCCAGCCTAAGGAGTTTACACTCTAGCATGGCTGGTCAATGAATCTTAGTCAAAGAACATGGTAAGTCAGAGGGTCTTTATAATGAGGTGACGGCATCATATTACTGACATGAGTTAACATTTGTGGGCATCATGTAAGCAGTGAGTTTTAGAGAGGGGATTGGACTGAAGAGGGTGGCTGCCTAGAGCAATAAGGATGGGGGGTGGGGAGGGAGTTCCTGGCAAGGAGAAGGGCATGAAAGAGGGCACAAAAATGAGAACATGCTCTATAAAAGTTTGCAGGCTCTGGTCTGTAGACCACCAGCAGATACATGGAAGCTTTCCTGTTGGCCTACAGAATTAAACTTTTGAGAACCAAGGTGGAGCAGGGAAAGAGTTGGAGGAAAAGTGGCCCATAAGAAAGTCTCTCCCTTTCAAAGTGGACTGCAGAATGAAGATTTGGAGACTCATTGCTCTGTAACCTATATACATATTGAGATGGACCAAGACCATAACACTGATTGTAAAAATTACTCTCATTTACACATCTGCCTCTCTCACAGGGACCATCCAATTCTGGGAAAAGAAGATGTGAAATCTGCAGAAGTTTCTTTGCTTGTCCTGTATATATTATGCACATAAACGGGAAGACCTGAGATTCTGGTAATGTCTACACAGGTATCTTTCACCAACACTGAATTAGTACTTGAAAAATATTTAAAGATTCAAATAATTTTGGTTTGAATGTGAAACCTGACCTTGCTAGCTGGCTCACTTGGTTCTTCGCTCTTTGTAGACTCTGCAGTAGCTTCTGGGGGGGAAAAGGGAGCAGGCGGAGGGATGTTTAGGTTAGTATATCTTTAAACATCATACAAGTATTTATATATCCAGGGAATGCCCATATAATCTGTCAAAATATTCTCATGCAAATGATCACTTGCTTAACTGTGCCATTTTAAGATTTATAGTTTCAATCCTTCTGAAGGCAATTTTCAAAGTGATAGAAAATACTGGGACATGTCTTCATTTACTGGACATGGAGAACATTACACTGGTAGTGTATACATGTAACAACTGGAATTACAAGCCAAATTTATTCAGAAAGAATAGTTTTTAATAGCAATAGGAATTTGCATTTGAAAAAATGCCATTATCTGAGGAGCTCACAATACGTTGTAGGCCAGTGGTTCTCAAACTTTTGTACTGGTGACCCCTTTCACAAAGTAAGCCTCTGAGTGCAACCCCCCTTATAAATTAAAAACACTTTTTAATATATTTAACACCATTATAAATGCTGGAGGCAAAGTGGGGCTTGGAGTGGAGGCTGACAGCTCGCGACCCCCCCAAGTAATAACCTCATGACCCCTGAGGGGTCATGACCCCCAGTTTGAGAACCTCTGTTGTAGGCACTATGGCCCTGTCCATATAACAAGCATATTTTTGTAACCAGGTTGTTGACAATCAGCTGATCTGGTTACAAACACATCTGAGTTGTGCCCACACAAGAAATCACTCATGTTTCTGTATCCTCCCCTACGAAGCTGCCTAACTGTGTTTATATCAGTGCATTCTGCGAAAAGTATCTGCAGCTATCTCATGGTGTTTCAGAAGACAACACAGTGCACAGAAAAATGCAGACAGAGCAGCATCTTAACATACAGGGAAGTGGTCCTGACCACAAAGTTGTGAGGGACCAACCAAATTTGCGATGCAGGCATAGTAAAAAGGGGCTCATCTATATTGCAAAAATACCTGTCTTCCTGCAACTACTTCAGCAACCATGAGCTACCATCAGCAGCTGGCAAGGGCAGAACACTATTAGGTACATAGTAACCGAGTATTAACCATATTTTGTGTGAATAAACCCTATTTACAACCAAGAACGTCAGTAACTGGTTAGAACCCCAGTTATAAGAAATAATGTAACCAGGGCCTATTTTAATTAATTTTACATAGGTAAACTGAGGCACCAAAATTAAATGAGTTGGTGGGAGAGTTGGGAATAAACATAGGAACGCTCATGCCTTTCCTCTAACCACTTCTAAATAAATAACTTATGCTCCATTGAATGCTACAAATGAAAAGTGCTATACAAGAGGTAAGTATTATACACACTGAAGATGTATATTTTCTCATTACAGTCTTTCCCTAGCCCCCGCTGCAAAATAAGTTTGCTTGCATGTTTTTCTCCATGAACCTACTTGAAGCATTTTCCTTCTTGGTACTTTCAGCTGTCTTCACTTCCACAGTGTTCTTGGCCTCAAGATTTTCTATACGAAAATATTCTCATTTAGTTTGCAAATATAGACAAGTTTATGACAGAAGTGAATAACTGTTTAGACTGCAATTTACCTTTGTTGGCTACAGATTCCATAGACTGATTTGATTCCACCTCCAGAGTAGAAGTCAGTGTAATTTTCTCTACAAGAACAATTTTAAAGGAGCCATCAGATCAATAGTAGCTTCACATAACTTAATACAACATTTCAGATAGTGTATCATTACAAACTTACCTTGCACAGCTACAGGTTTACTAATTTCTTTGGCCTCATCGTCTCCAGCTTTCTTAGGTTCTGTGGTCTTCCTAGCCTCTACAGCCTTCTTAGATTCTGCGGCCGTCTTAGTCTCTACAGCCCGCTTCGGTTCTGTGACTTTCTTAGGTTTTGCATCCTTCTTTTTGGATTCTGCAGACTTCTTAGGATCAATACGCTTCTTTTCATTAGGTTTTGCTGTGATGGGAAAGGAAGAACAAAGCATTCATTATTTCAGCATATTTAAATTACCTAGTTTGCAAACAAATATATAATACAACTCCTCTTAAATGGATGTCTTAGGCCTTAGTGATCATCTCCAGCTCAACTTAAACGTATTTGTGATTATCTGACCCCTCCTCCCACAAAACAAAACAGAACACCCACACTATTTTCTCATTGTTTCTGGAACAGGACATAGAACTATTTAACTAAACTCGTTTTTTTTTTGCTTACTTATGGACACAAGATGGATATTTGTAGGACAGTTGTACTGTATATACTCGTTCATAAGCTAAATTTTTTTTAATAAAAAAGGGAAGCATCAGAGAAGGGGGTCGGCTTATGAACAGGTATAGAGAGGGAGAGGTGGGACACAGCCCCTCCCCCACAACAGAGGGGGCAAGAAGAGGCAGCACAGCAAGCAGAGCCAGAAGGGAAGAGGCGGGGCTAGAGTCTCTCCGCTTCTGGCCACACTGCTCTCCCCCCAGCCTCCGAAGCAGCTGCAGTTCCGGGGCTGGCAGGCTGAGGCCGCGCCGCCCGCCCCACCCAGCGGAGCATGCTGCGGCCACGCCGCTTGGCCACGCCCACCGGAGCAGGCTGCAGCTGTGCCACCTGGCCCAGGCCACCGGAGCAGGCTCCAGCCAGGCCAGAGACATCCTCTCCTGGCCTGCCCCAGCTAAGGTAGGAAGGGATGGGATGGGGAGAATGTGGGGGTCTCAGGCTAGGGGTGGGGTCATGTGGGGGGTGGTCACGGGGTTACTCCCCTGACCCTCAGCTTCCCCTTCCCCCCCCCGCCCCCCCCAAAAAAAAAAATTTCCCCCCCCGTTGCTGTCCTGTCAGGGTAAGCCGCTGGTGGGCGGGACACTTTGTTTACTTAGGTTTACCTCCGTGCCTGCAGACACTTAAGGTAAACAAACCGTCTCGGCCCACCAGCGTCTTATCCTGATGGCCCGGGAGCCAAAGTTTGCCAACCCCTGAATTATAGGATCGGCTTATGAATGGGTCATAAAAAATTTCCATTTTTACTTATCCATCTTGGGGGGGTCGGTTTATAAACAAACCGGCTTATGATCGAGTATATATGGTAATTTTTTCTGAGCCCTAAAAGCTGTCGTCTATAAGTAACAGGTAAGATGTAGAGAACACAGATGTACCGGGAGGGGTGGGGGTGGGGAGGTGGTCTCCTGACCTGACTCAGACACTGATCAAAGTGAGCACTCCTTCATTAACAGTCTGAGCTTAATTTCCCTGTTCTTCCATACCCTAGACTTGGCAGCTAGGCAGAAATTGCACTTCTGGGAGACATGAGACTCCGCCAAGCAACGGACACATTTAGTGTGGCCGTCCCTCACAGATATAGCCTCTTGGCAAGAGACACAGCATCTGAAGCCTGGAGAGCCAGGCATTCCCTGCCAGGAAGACAAGGCTCCACAAGGAGCAAAAAAAATTATCCTCTTACTAGCTAACTAGAACCACTACTAACAACTAACTGCAATAACTAATCTTCAACAACCATAAATCAATACAAAATAGCCGAGGCATGCTCGAGGTGGACAAACTAGAACTCTATCTCAGGCCAAGGCTATGGAGAAGGAACTGCGGGCAGTTCATCTGCACATCCCTATATTGCCTTGATGTGCATCATGAGGAGGCACAGGGCACATGCGTGGGCCGAACAGGCTCTGCTAGTGGAAAAAGCTCTGATCAAGGGCTTGAGAAGTGTATGCACACCTGAATTGGCACGGCCATAGGGACACCACTCAAAGAATTGGTCTCTCTCGGTTTTTACAATACCAAGCACACAGAAGATTTTCAGTAATTACTAACCACTATTTTCTGATGATAAAGGCAATTTGATAAGCATGCTCTTCCATTAATTATAGGCACTTTATTCAGAAATATGCCAACTCCTGGCAGTGAGGGATGCTACTCTTGCCTCAGTTCAGTATCAGAACCTAGAATTTTAGGTGTCTATTCGTCTCAAATAAGCACAGATGGTGATGAGAGGATGAGACTCCTTAGAACAGTGTTTCCCAAACTGGGGGAGGGGTGGGGCGCAGCGGCAGCAGAATGCCCTAGACTAATCTGAGGAAATGGAGGTCGAAAAGAGCTATGGGAATCGCTCAATGAGCTTTCGTGGGTAAGAAAACACTTCTTCAGATGCATCTGAAGTGGTTTCAGGTTGCATCTGAATAAGTGTTTTTTTACCCACGAAAGCTTATGCCCAAATAAATCTGTTCGTCTTTAAGTTGCCACCCGACTCCTCTTTGTTTTTGTGGATACAGACTAACACGGCTCCCCCTCTGATACTTGACATCTATTACAATGGCAACTCCAGGGCGAAAAAAGCTGGGACTCGGCCTTAGAACCTGAAGCACTTCTGTTTTAGAAGGAAAACAATTTCTGCATGTTTTCACTGAAAGAGTGAAAATTCTCATTTGCCTTACCTGAAGTGGCTGAAGTTTTCTTAGTTTTACTATCTGTTTGCACCGCCGGTTTCTTTGTTACTTCATGTTTACCTAAGTAAAATAATTGTAACGTAAGAACTCAATAGAAGCAGGGGTGCTGGAACTGGGCCTGGCTTGAAGTAGTAACAACCACCAAATACATAGTTTCTGCTTTCAGCACTTCCGCTATAAAAACTGTTCCAGCACCCTTGAATATAAGTGGATATTATTACACCAATTTCAATCCTAAAGAAATCCCAAACACATTACAAAATGGTATACAATTCATAGGAATCACTTCATCCATGACTGAAATGCAACCAGCCCTGGAGTAAAAAGAGGCAGCTATTTAACAGTGCACAGCAACACAACAACAGAGACAAGAAGTGGGCAAGAACAACAACAGTAACCGCAGAGGGAGTTAGACAAGTAAAATACAAATTAGGCTAGGACATTGAGGTTTTGTTCTTACAAAATGTGTATTTTTTAATGACCACAAGTAATCTGAACCTCAATTTTACACCTTATCTGAAAAAACAGCCACTAAGGCACTGGATTCAATAATGACACAAGGAGAGTTCCACCAACTGAATCAACAGCAACATGTATATTTAAACACCTGACTGGTTTCCCATCCAAATACTGACTTGTCCTAATCCTGTTTACAGTTGCTTGTGAAAGCTAATGGAATAACAGTACATGGCAGCATGGCTGTTTAGTTACTTTCAAATGTATATTAAAAAAAAAAAATCTAAAACCTACCAGAAAGTTTAACTGCTTTTGTTGCGGTTTGTCCGGCTTTTGTTAATTTTGCTGAAGTAACAAGAAAAATGTGTCATTACAAATCCTAAATCAGAAGACTATTTTGCTTTAAAAACAAAGCCTGGTGGCAAAAAATTATAAAGCCCTATTTTAGCAATGGTCTTCAATCTTTCAGTAGGGTGTTAGAACACTGACAGATCAAATTGAGCATGCATTGGGATCTAGAAGGGAGCATAAGGCATTTGCTGCAGTGCCTCCTGACAGCTGAATAACTGAGCAGCACTGGTATGGATCTTGGAGGCAGCTTATGGGGCTGATCCATAGCCTATTAAAGTTAACAGAAAAAAACCCATTGATTTTATAGGACTATAAATACCATACTCCCCTTTTACAGATAAAAGCATACAACTTGTGATCCACCTACTGGAGCACAGGAGTTAGGGATTTATTTTCTTAAGGAGTGTTTGGTTGTATTAAGAGAGGAAATTTCAAGGAGAAACCAATTGTTTTCTAGCCCCCTTCCTGGGCCTGCTTTCAGTCACAACCAGAGTAAGTAAAAGTAAACCCATACTAGCCAAGGAGGAAAGGGAGATATTATCAGAGAAAGAGTGACTAGAACTCACCTGCAGAAGCAGCTGGAGTAACAGATTTAGTCTTCTTAGTAGTAGTACTGTTTCCATCTTTTCTAACATGCGAAAGAAACAGGATCAGAGATGACAGGTGGATTTCATAAGTTTTTAAAAAACAATTTCACAAATGTGAAAACATCAGAAAGAAAATGGATTTCCACCCATTACTATTTTCAAGAATTACTAGCAAAGGTGGTACTTACCATGCATGCATGTCAACACTTACTTTGTACTCAATGCAGCTTTCTTTACATTCTGTGGAGCCTTCTTTAGACTTACTTTGACCTGTAATTTATAGAAAGAATATGAAGTAAAACTTTACTGTGTTCTCTACATCTTGTTCCTATAGACTACATCTTCTATGGCTCCCAAAAAAAATTATTACATTTATCCAAATATATCCATCTTCTGTCCATAAGCAAGCAAAAATAAATAAATAAAAAAATAAAAAAAAAATAAAAAATCAAAGACATGCAAGAGCTGGAATCAGATACATGTATATTTGTTTTAGACTACTGTTCCTCCATAGATGGAGATCCATACCAATCTTAATTCCCCAAAGAAACCTGTAGCTTTAATCGTTCATTTTCTAAAGCTAACTTAAGAAGCCAACAACAAAACATTACGCTATTCTCCAATATCCTGCTTACCTGGCTAGGAGGTGCTTTTGGTTTTTCTGCTACGCTTATTTTCACACGCTTCCCATTTACCAGCACTGGCACTGTCTCACCATACTTCACAGCTGCTATCACTGCCTCTTTGTAGTTCATTTCTAGGAAGGCCTAAAATAAATTGCAAGTTTGTTTTGAATTATATGCCATACAGTTGAACACTAAAACCAAATTATATTTTGTTTTAGGAGATCTGTTCACACCATGTGACCGTGAAGGAATATATACACACAAGTCGGAAATTTATTGAAAAAAAACTGGATTTCAGTTTTACAGGAAGAAACTTTTAAAACATATCAAATATCTAGATGATTCAACAATTCTCAGCTCAGAAAACAACTAAGACTTATTTTGACATTGACAGAGCTAACGTGACTGTTCTTGC